TTCAGAATGTGCAAGGCCAGACTTTATTGTTACTGGAAGTGGTTAAGCTAGACTAGTCCTGTATTCTCTTCTACATCACATCTTTGCTATGGGTATTCATTGGCATAGGACTTTTTTATACTTATCTCAGACCAGTATGCCTTTTTCCTTTTCTTTTTTTAAAGTTAATTTATGTTTAAAGGGTGTCAATTTGAAAACCAGGCAGATTCAGCCATGCTAAAAATGACCCTAAAAATTGAAAAATTGCCCACCTAGAACTGTTGGGATCCATTTTCTTCAAATAATTGTCTTTAGGGTCATTATGCTAAAGAAGATTTACAAGTTGTTAATAAGCACATTAAAATACGCTCAGGATCATTAGCCCCTAGGGAAATGCAAATCAAAACCACAATGAGAAACCACTTTATGCCTACTAAGATGGCTATCACAGGGCAAGCTGGTGATGTGGGTGGTTAAGGCAGCTACATCCCACATGGCTAACTGTGCAGTGCAAGCCCCTTACCTGGCAGCTTGGAAAATATGCTGGGCACACACACACACACACACAAACATGTGCATCCTGAGAGAAGGGAGAAAAAGGACTGTGGTGTGGTCATCTCTCCAGGGAATGCTTTCTCATTTTTTCTATGTCTGTCTCTTTCTGATAAGAGTACATGCCATATAGTAAGAAAAAAAAAGACCATTACAAGATAGAAAATAGGTGTTATTGGCAAATTAAAAATAAATAAATAAAACTATAGTCATTGAAATGGTGTGGTATTGGTTATTGGGCCAGCAGATGGTATGGAGGCTGAGTTGCTAGATCCCACATGGCTGACTCCACAGTTCGAGTTCCAGACATGGCGGACTGAAAATCATGCTAGGTCTGTATGTGTACTTGCCCCAAATCCTGAAATGGAGAATGGAGCTGAAGGGATTGTGGTGTGGCCATCTTCCCTGGAGGGTAATTTCTCACTTGTTCTCTCTGTCTGTCCATCTCTCTCTGGTGATTGCATGTGTCCTATGGAATAAGTTTAAATAAAACAAAAAATGGTGTGGTATTGGTATAAAGACAGATATGCAGATGAATGGAATGTAACAAGAATCCCATAAAGAAAGAAATATTCATGAGGGAAAAAAAAGTGTTAGTGAGAATGTGGGAAAATTGGAACACTTGTACATTGCTGGTGGGTACATAAAATAGTACAAATGTGGAAAAGTGTCCCCAGACTGTTAAATGTAGAATTATCATGTGATCTAGCAATTCCCCTTCCGGATATATACCTGAAAGAATTGAAATCAAAGACTCAAAGAGATAGTTGTAGAACAGTTTTCCTAACAGTATTATTCACAATGTCAAAAGGTAGAAACAACCCAAGTGTCTATCAGCAGATGACTAGAGAAGCAAAATGCAGTATATACACGCGACTGACTATTATTCAGTCTTAAAAAGAATATGTGGCATATATAACATGAATCTTGGAAACATTATGCTAACCAAAGTAAGCCAGACACATAAGAACAAATAATTATGAGTCCACTTAAATTAGGTACCTAGAGTAGAAAAAATTCAGAGACAGAAAGTAGAATAGAGGTTACCAACAGCTAGAAGATGAGCGGGGGGGTCATCAAAGTATCTGGGAAATCTTCTGTCTTGAGTTATTGTTTATTTATTTATTTTTAGAGAGATTTTTGCTGTAGAGCACATGTACTCACTAAAGGCACAGAGAAAGACAGACAGAAAGTAAGAAATCACCCTCCATGAGGATGGCCACACCAGAATCCCTTCTCCTCCATTCTCCCCTCAGGATTTTGGGCATGCACATACACATGCCCAGTGTGTTTTAAGTGGCTAGGTATGGGACTCAAACCGGTTGATTATATAGTAGTCCAGCAACAAAACCATTACGCCATCTGCTGGTCCCATTATTGTTTAATAGGTATAGAGTTTCATGGGACCAGCAGATGGTGTAATGGTTATGTTGCTGGACTCCCACAAAGCTAATTGTGGTTCAAGTCCTGGAATTGGCAGTTTAAACCTCACATTGGGTGCGTGTGTGTGCATGTCCAAAATCCCGAGAGAAAAATGGAAGAGAAGGGATTGTAGCATGGCTATCCTCCCTTGGGGGTGATTTTTTGCTTTCTGTCTCTCCAGTGAGCATAGATACCCTATGCTCTCTCTAAAAAAATAGGTACACAGTTTCAGTTTAGGATGTTGAAAAAGTTGTGAAAATAGTGGTGATTAAAGGGCGGTAGTGGATTGTAGAGGATGGGTGGGTGGGAGAGGGATAGAGAAAAAAACAATAAACTCTAGAATGTAAAATTCTCTATTGAAAATTATGAATATAGTGGGACCAGCAGTTGGCATCATGGCTACATTGCTGGACTCCCATGTAGTTGACTGCAGTTGGAGTCCCAGACCCGGTGGCTTAAACTCACGCCAGGTGCGTGTGCGTATGTGCCCAAGATCCCAAGAGGAGAATGGAGGAGAAGGGACTGCAGCATGGTCATCCTCCATGGGGGGTGATTTCTCACTTTCTGTCTATCTCTCTCTGTCTGGCGAGCACACGCGCCCTATAGCAAAACCTCTCCAAAAAGAAAATTATGAATACAGTAATATATTTGATTTGATGGTCAAAAATACATGAATAAATAATTGTGGTGATGATTGGACAACACTGAGAATATACATTTTGCCAATGAATTGTACACTTAAAAAAACAGTTAAAATGACAAATTTTATGTGATGTATGAGGAAACATCAAAAAGGTCATGGAGAGACCAGCAGGTGGCATGGTGATTAAGGTGCTAGACACTCCCACATGGCTGACCATGGTTTGAGTCTTGAACCCCAACCTCCTGATTGAACATCATGCTGTGTGTGTGTGTGTATGTGTGTGTCTCTGGTGAAATTAAAATGAATGAATGAATAAATAAAATTAAATAAAAAAAATTGTTTTTAAAAAAAAAGGCCATGGAAAATTGGAACTAAAGTCAAATATATTGGTGCCAAAAGATTTTGGGATCCATTTAGTTTTTTTTCCTAATACTCATTTTTCATAAACTTTTTGAAGATATCTTTGTATGTTTAATTTTAAAAGTGTGCCACATACAGAATAGAGTAAGATATATAATATACAAACTTAAAATATATATCTATTATATATATGTATATAAATATATACCTGTAAGATAATATTCATATTGCAAAGATACACATATAAATATAAAATACCAAAATAGTACATTTTTGGGGAACAAGGTGGTACTAAATTTTATAAGGAAAAAGATAAAAAATAACCAAGACACTCATGAAGAAAATGAGGTGAAAGTACTTGATCTATGATTAGGTGTTAATACTTAACAAATTATTAGGATTACTATAGGTAATTAAGGCATTATAACTAAGATAATACTAAGAATGACAATTATGCTAATAGGATATAATAGCCTAGAAACAGACCTACACACTTATGGATAGTTGGTTTACAATAAAAATGATGTTGAAGAGCAATGCAGAAATTATTGTCTTTTCAATAACTAATGGTGGGACGAATAGATATTCATACAGAAAAAAATGAAACCTAGTCACTGTGTAATATCATTTACAACATAATATTTGGAGCATAAAATAATGACAGTTTAGGGGGGTAAATTAGGGGAGATATGTTTTTTGTCTTTTGTTGAAGTAAACAATATATAATATAATCTCACATATATCACACAGTCTTGTTAAACAGGTGACAAAAAAAAAGGAAATACTGAGAAGTTTAGCATATTAAAACTAAGACTAGGGACAGATGATGCAACAGTGGTAAAACACCATGCTCTGTGTGGCAATCCCATATGGGAAGGTTCCTGGCTCAAGTCTAGAAAACTCCCTGAGTACACTGGGTATGTGCTTGCCCATGCCAGGACTGGGTGAAGGCTGCAGATAAAAGTTCCTGCTGGGGAGGCTGTCTGTCTGTCTCTCTCTCTCTCTGTGTCTCTATTACTTACAGAAGAAATATATATACTTAAAAAATAATTATTTATCCAATCCATTTATTATTATTCTTTTTTTTTCTTTTTTTGGAGAGGTTTCTGCTATAGGGCGTGTGTGCTCACCAGAAAGACAGAGAGACAGAAAGCGAGAAATCACCCCCCAGGGGGGATGACCATACCGCAATCCCTTCTCCATTCTCCTCTTGGGATCTTGGGCACACACGCATATGTGCCCAGCGGGAGTTTAAGCCACCGGGCCCAGGACTCGAACCACGGTCGACTACATGGGAGTCCAGTGACATAACCATTATACTAACTGCTGGTCTCCATTTATTATTATTCTAATTTGATCAGAGACAGAGAGAGAGAAAGGGAAAATGAGAAAGCAAGTCACCAGGCCCAGGACTCAAACTATCGTCAGTTATGTGAGAATCCAGCACCTTTAACCACCATGTCACCTATTGACCCCATGAAATGTATAAACTTTTAAAAAGAGAAACAAACAAACAAAAATACAGATGCTGCCTCCCTGTGTTTGCCAACCCTAAACTATTCACAACCTTTTCTTGGTCTCTACTAGGTCCCTGCTTTGAAAGACCCTTCTTAAATTAGTTAAGCCCTATCCCAGAACTCTATAAATACCCTACTCTAATATCCCCATTTTTATTATATAAGACTGTGTCAAGTTGATGTTCTTCCACCTCTAGTAGGTTTCAGAAATTCAGCTTTGTTTGAACAACAGGCTCTTTTAGTGATCTTTGTGGGGCAGTTGACAATTGATCTTTTTTTTTTTTCCAATTTGCCAGAGGGCACATGCACTTACTAGAGAAAAAGGGAGCTTGCACTAAAGAAAGAGAAAGTGAGAAAGTACACCCCATGGGGACTGGTCATGCTGCAAACCCTTTTTTGGGAGGAGCTAAGAAGTTGTAGATTTGAGCACAATAATTCTTTATAAGGCCCTTCTGTAGCACCTCTAAGGTAGAAGTAAGACTATACAAATTTAACTTAATGTTGACATAAATATTGCTAAAATACAAAAAAAGAATAGAGGATATTTTCTGTGTTTTGTGTTTTATTTATTCGGAGAGTAAAACTGGTAGAGTGAGCAAACTTTTAGTTGTGCTTAGAATGCGCTACCTCCTTCATTCTACCTTGAAGAAGAAAGAAACTTCTTTTTCTTTCTTAGAATCCTGGATGCTGAAATTGATCAAAATTAGGATCCCACAAACACTCAGAGTGATGCGCAATTTGAGGCTTTGAATAGCTATTCATATATGTTGACTTCTCTGTGCATTTGTATGGAGGAGGATCCAGTTCAGGTTGATGTCCTGGGAACCAGTGAGGCTCCCTTTTAAATCCTGAGAGAAAAGATAAGCAAAGACAAATTGAAATAGTCAACAAGGAGTTTTAGTAACTAATCTCACTCTATTTCTGAAGGAATACGCAATGAGTCCTATCAACATTGAGAAAAAGAAGCAATTGTTCACTCATCTGTGCACTTATTCACCCATTCAGTTTATTTTTGAGTCCCTTCTATATGCTAGGCCCTTAGGGAGGGTCTGAGAACATAAGAATGAAAAAGCATAATCCACCTACTATGGGTTGAAAGTGGCATTTTGTCATTATAGCTTGTATCATACGTAGTTTCAAAGTAGTGTCCAAACTGGAAGGAAAAATTAGTAGGTTAAGAATTTGGAATTGGGCCAGCCAGTTGAGTGGTGGTTAAGGCAGCTGAATCCCCCATGGCCAACTGTGTGTCTGAGTCCTGGACCCAGCGACTTCAGAAACACGCAGCGTGCATGTGCATATGTGTCAAAATCACAAGAGGAGAGAGGAGGAGAGGCATAGCCAGTCCCTCTAGGGGGAGCGTTCTCTATTAGTAGGTTAAGAATTTGGAATTGGGCCAGCCAGTTGAGTGGTGGTTAAGGCAGCTGAATCCCCCATGGCCAACTGTGTGTCTGAGTCCTGGACCCAGCGACTTCAGAAACACGCAGCGTGCATGTGCATATGTGTCAAAATCACAAGAGGAGAGAGGAGGAGAGGCATAGCCAGTCCCTCTAGGGGGAGCGTTCTCTCTGTCTTTCTCTACCAAGTGCATGTGCCCTATCGTAGAGTGACCAAAAAAAAAAAAAAA